TAAAAAAATCACAAAAAAATACTTTATACAAAAATACTCCTAGATAAGCAAATCTTTATAAAAAGATTTTAACAAATTATCTCGGAAAAAAAATGGCTAAACAGTCTATGCCATATAGATTGAAAAAAGTGTAAAAACAACCAAAAAAGGTAAAAAATGACAATATTTTGTAAAATACTAAGATTATTGTAGAGAGCGCTTGTTAATAATCACTTGTGCATAACTATTTATGTATAAAAATTTCAAAAATAAATACGTTTATAACACCATTTTAACATTCAAAAAACTTGTTTATATCATTTATTTGTTTTCTGTCTGGTAAAAAATTTATTTATATTTTCAAAATACTATTTGCTAATGTTAAAAAATACGTTGATAATAGAATAGTATACATCACAAACTCGTTAGTAACAGCGTGTCGCCTCGTGGCAGCGCGGGGTAAGCGACAACTACAAGCCTCAAGGCCATGCAACTTTCTCATGCCAACGTCTTCATTCGCTTGTCATTCATGCATTTTTTGCTCTTTTACTCTAAATATTCGTAGAGTTAATTTTTTAGCATTGCTCTTTCGATTCCTGCAAATTTTATTGTTCCGAACCATGGCTAATTTTAGAGACACGTCTGTAACTTCTGACTCATTTTTCTTAACGAATAAAATTTATGAGAAAAACCAAATCACACCATTAGATAGAGTAGATCAAAATAAATCGGTTTGTATTTTTTAATAATTTTTTTAGCTATCTCCCAACCACTAAGAGTGAGTTGAACACAGCGTGCTTGGACGAAAAAAGCCCCACGGATGCAAGGTGGCCTGCTCTCAGTGGACAGGCCAGTATAATACAGCCTTTTTCAGTAATTCTTGATTGTTGGTATGATTTTTGTTTCTTTAAGCAAATGGGAATTTTTTGGTTTGATTTACTCATCTAGGTTTCAAAATTATTACACTATGATGTATCAAAGATGTATTCCGATATTAACTTAGTTTGTGAGACAGAATGGTATGTTTTTAATTTCCTTTTAAAAAAAAACTTTTTTATTTTATCAAAAATTGTAACAAAAAGTAGAAAAATAAAAAGGTTTTTCACGAGCTCCAAAGCAATTTCACACATCTGATTATACTTCTAAACTGAATCTATCACAAAGTTTTGCCTGTATTCGTCCTTTTTTTACATAAGAAAACAAATCATCTCAGAAATAAGCAAAATACTGAAGTTGGTTCATGATTAGCTTTAATTTGCTCTTACATGCTTATCGACATTTGTAGTAATGCTTAATTTTTTTTCTCACTTAACAAGTTTAAGCCTTATAAATACTGTAAGCAATGGTATTTTTCTTATTTAAAAAGAAAATAAATATTAATTACAATTCTTAATGAGAAAATAACACTTTTGACCAAAAATTTTTTATTGACTCTTTAGTGAATCAAGTTAAAAATATGTCTTGAATAAATTTTTGTAAACCCATAAGTTTTTGGGTTTTAAATATTTGTAGGTTAAAACAGCTATTTAAACTATTTTCAATCCCGTACTAAAAAGGTATTATTTAATTGCTGGTTACTTACTAGAATGTAAGTTTTCTTTGTGTTTATACTTTTTGCATGAAAATTTGTAGTCACTTAATACTCATGGTATTATTTATTTACAAGTGGTCGACTTTGTAAGTACTATTCATTGATGCTTATACTGCACATTATAAAATGGACTTTGCCCTAAATTAAGTCTTTCTAGAGTCACGTGACTTTTTACAGGGGCAATTAAAAAATTAAAGTTTTTAAACGTTACATTTATAACTTTTTTTGACGATTAAAGATTCCAAAGACGAAACCATAGATTTTTAGATGGTTAATGACTAAAAAGCTCAATAATTTTTTAAAACCAATTCGAATTTTCAAATGGCAACTATGCATCCAAACAGTATTAATAAACAAAAGTCAGCTAGACATAAACATAAACTTTTCTAAGGAGCAAGTAGATTTATAAGTTTTATAGTAGGTAAGTAAAACTATATACATACAAAAAAGGTCTGACAACAAATAGAAATATAATCAAAAACTTTGAAAATAGTGTTTTACAGTTTTTAAACAATTAATAATATGCTTATGTTATAACTTTTTTTTTTGCCATCAGTATTTATTGATTGTTGCTTCTTTTGACATTTCAATGAATATTGTATGAGTAATGTTTGTCATGCACTCGTAAACGGTAAATCTTTCATTCAAACGACGCAGAAAACCATGACAATGGAATGCATTTCGGTTATGTTAAAATAAATGCGATATTTTGAGTGCTAGGGAGTCACTAAATGGTAAAGCAAGTAATACATCGAGTATTTGTCATGATGTTTGTCATCAGCCATCCAAAAAAAACTCTGAGTACTAAATTTAAAACTAATAACTTAGTATCTGGAATTTTTCCAGATTTTTGGCCATTGGCCACTGTTCTACGTCATTGAAACATCATACTTAGATACTATGTTGCTTATAAGGAAGATTAAATTGAGTATTGGTCCAAGTAACTAAATAAAGAGCCTGCGGGTATTTAAATATAGTACACAGTTTTACTTACTTTTAGATAGTGTCAGTTTCCTGCCGTACGTCTATTTTTTTTAATTGGAACCTTTTTTTGGAGAGAGGATGAACCAAGTAAGTAAATGAAATAGTTTTGTATGATGGATACACTCGCCGCCTATGGATTAAAGTCCTTTTTATCGCAAGTTTAATTAAAAAATTGGATGCGTATAAGAGTTATTACTACTATATAATTATGAAGGCCTCTGAGATGACGAGATTTGATCACTTTTATAGTAGTATGGCTTACTTTAAATGAATATGATAAGAAACTTTATCAGTAAAAGCCTCAGATAGGAGCAACAATAGCTTTATGTACTTATTTATGTATAATAGAGAACTTGCATGTTCTCCGATTCAATTTTTTTTTCAATTACTGAAAATGCCCCGAGTAAACTTGCCAAACAGCTTTTACTTTAAGGCTTTGAAATATATACTATAATTTATTGAAATTTCTTACCTAATCTAAATCGGTGTCACGTGATCATGAAGTAGAAACTTCTGAATTATGTAGGTTCGTTCATTATGTAATCATGATCTTTGAAATTGAATAAACTGCTATAGAAAGCAGAAACTAGCCACAGCTAGTTCGACTAGCATGACACATCGTCTGCTTGTTTATGTAAATGATTTGATAAAAGGTATAAGTAAGATTATACGTACAACTGTCAACTAATAAATGATTGAAAAATGAACGAAAAAAAAGTTAATTCTAATTCTAACAGGTACAAGTACTGTTTTGTGCCAGGATGTACAAATACTACAGCCAAGAATCAATTAAAGATTTTTTGAGTCGTCCTAATCAATCCATTAAAAAGAATACTTTGGTGCGATGCTGTAAGTTATCCAGAAAAAAAAATTGACAAAAATTAGTCACTGTTGTAAGGATCACTTTGATGTACGTATGCAAGCACAAGTATTTGGAAATAAATTTTTGGATTTTCTGACTATCCATAGTTACAGTAACATTTAACCTTTTCTCAAACTTAGTTGCAAAATGATTTACAATACTTCATGGTACAGTAAATTTGTATAAACTTGAATTAATCCAATATGCTAAAATACGACAAAACCTTTGAATTTTTACACAACGTATTTCCATGATTCCATAGCATTCGTTGGAATGAATGAAATTTAACATCATATCTAAATCTACTTTTGGTAGATTTTCGGATGTTCCATTAATAAATTCTGGATTCATGGTAACTCTAGTACTGATAAGTTCGCCAGTGTCAAGAACTCTCTCAGTAAACAAAAACATTATGTTGTCTACTTCGAATGAAGCGTGTTCCAATGAAGAACAATGACGTCTCAAAGCACTTTATTAATCGCAAGTCGACTAAATCTTAATAATTCAGATGTTCTTACGTCATTGTCACGTGATATCGATTTGAATGAGAGCTTGAATAACCTGTTTGAAAAATATTTAATTCCTTGATCTATGCAATATTTATTTATGATATTATAACTCATACATGTTTAATTGACATTACGCTAGCAATACGAAGTATTAGCTGACTGAATCCTGCTGCATGCAAGTTGTTTATTTTTCTGCTGTTATAGCCACTGAGTGAAGTGGAGTAAGTAAAGAATACCGATTGTCTTAAATAATTTAAAATTTACCAAACATCTACTTTCTCAAGATCAAAGCATAAAATGCCATGCTTCAGGAATAACACTCGTTTTCCATGGGTTGTAGAGCACTTTTTCAAATTATAAAAAACGTACCTATCTATTGGAAATAGTCCTAAAGCGATTGCACTGAAAATTTTTCAGTAATTTTATTTTATGAGTTTTTACTTTTTTAAAATAAATTTTTCGAGGTACCTTCAGAAAAGAAGCTAATGTTTAATGAATAAGGAATTAAGCGTACAACTTTTAACGAAAAATTAGCCCCGATACTTGATTCTAGTACTTTTACTGTTGTAATTATTAAGTTTGAAAAGAAGCTTTTTTAACGAATAATGTGTTTTTTTTTTATAAATTGCAACGCATGAATCTTCAAAAAAAAAAAAAAAAAGTCGTAGACACCCATCAAATTCTATAGTTTGTCAAACCCTCACATTAAAACTAGGATCTGAGGGCTTCAACATGCGTGATTAAATTCAAGTTTTTACTAGCACCTCCCCTCGTGAGAGATTAAAAAATGTAATTTTCTTCACATTCTCACATTCTCACATTGATTGAAAGATACATGATGGTCAAAAAATAATTACTTAACTACAGCTTGGGGAAACATTCTTGAAAATTTTATTTTTCACACCAAAATTTCTACTTAGCGAACATGATAAGTAATATTATACCTAGGATAAACTTTTATTGATTATAGAATTAACTTACTTATCTTTGTGTTGTATTTCTTAAATCTTTTGTTACCTTTTTTTTTCACAAAAACTGTAAGTAAAGTTATAATACGTGACCTTTTTTATTGCAGAGGTTGTAAGGACGCGGTTACGAGAAGAGGGAAACAAGTATCTTGGTTTTTGGCAAACGACAAGTACAATAATGGCAGAAGAGGGTACAAGAGGGCTGTACCGTGGCTTAACGACCCAGCTGTTACGCCAAATACCTAATACAGCAATTATGATGGCCACATACGAGGCTGTTGTGTACATTCTTACAAATCACTTTCAGCCAGTTTCCATGAAAGCTAGTATTTCTAACAATGGTAGCACTGTTGATGTAATAAGCAATGAAAATACCGTTGCGATGAGGACTGCGCCTACGCAGTTTTATAGCAAATCTAAGACTAAAAGCGATCTGTCCTAAAGTTCAATGACGACTCCTAACTAGAAAAAAAAAATTACCACCTTAATCATCAAACTAAGACACCCATACCTGCAACTTCTTCCTTGTATGTTATAACTTCCCTTTCCCTAAAGAGTACGCTGGATCGTCTCGGTCAGAAAGTGTTCCAAACACATTTATGGATCTTTATTTATCCAGATTTTGTTCAAACCAGCTGTTGTTATTTCTGTCCTTAATATAATAATTACTATAATTGTTGTGACTATTATTAATATTAGTATTATTATTAATATTATTTTTTTGTAATTATTGTAATTATTACTACTATATTTTTAATGATATATAAAACCTAAAAAACTGTTTATGATATGGACCCTGGTAGTTCTCCTTCAGCAAATTTTTCAGCAAAAGTTACTGTAATTAGTTTAAGGAGCTTCCACACCAGATGTAGTGAGGAGTGCAAAAGGAAGGTATGATTTTTTGTTCCGTTTACATATGCGCGTTCACATCTCATTCTAAAACTCCGTAGCTTAAATTAATCCTTAGGCTTATAACTTACCAATTGATTTGATGAAATATTCTCCATGGTCTCAAATTTTTTTGAAGTCTGTTGATTTTATCATAATTTCATAGTGAAAGAATTGTTTTTTATGCTTTTTTTATGAAAGACCATGTTATAAGTATAAAATTTATTTTATTAACTTATAGTTTCAGAGAAAACCATAAGTCTTAAAATATTAGAAAAATGTATAGATCACTTCATTGACCTATAAAATATATATATATAGCAAGGATTAAATAAAAATGTTTTGGTGCAGTACCTTCTTACTTCAGTAAAGCTTTGTCTCTCATAGAAATGTTAAAATGAATCGTTCAATAGGGCTTACAGTGTGATATTAGGTAAAGGAGAGAAAGCTGGCAAGATATTTTCTCTTTTTAACTAAGTCTTATAAGTGCACTGAGTTTCCTGGTTAAAAAAAGACTATAAAAAAGTTTTCTCAGCTGCTTATTTTTTGCAAGTAAGATTACCGCTGTACACTTTCAATAAGACTGTCTGAACCTTTTAATCAATTAAGCATAAGCTTGGTGTCAGTCTTGCATAAGAAACTGACGCACCTCTTCATTAAAAATCTGCTACAAATTTGTAAAAGCACAAGCATGAATATTTTGCAGTGCAATTGCACAAATCTGTATTTTCAGGGGATGCTCCCTAACTCTAAAGTACCTGTTACATACCATACGGAGACTCTAACTAGATAAAAATAATAAAATTGATCTTACCATATTTAAAATAAAACATTTTTCAACCTTTCTATTAAATTCGTTCTGATTTACTACGCATAATAAATTGTGTTTTTTTTTAAAAAAGGACAGTACAAATTTTTCTTTACAGTGGGATGAAGTAATAACAAAGAGTTGTAAACACTTGAAAAATGTTTTCTTGTTTCCCAAATTGTAGATACATTTTTTCAATCTTCTTTATCCGCAAAAAATTTTTCGAACGTTACAAAGCTTCAGAAAAAATTCACGTTTGGTCAAATATTAGCCAGGGCAATCAAAAGATCCCAAACTCTATTTTGCTTAGTCAATATTTAACTCAAGTTGAGCTTGCGTTTATCTACACTGTACCTTACAGATGGCCAAAGCTTAGCTTAAGTGATATAAAAATAAAAATAACAAAAAAATGTAACAAAAAAAAAAAAAATTGCGGGGTCAATATAAATTCACATACACGTATGAAACATGGAAAAGATGTAAGCATCAACACACCAACTGCCACTTTTACAGTCACTGCGATAGCACGTGCTGCAGGGAGAGAGTATATGTATAGTTTAGTCAAACTGTACATATAGCTTACCAATGTATAAAGCAAAGTCGCTAAAACCGTTGTAATCGCTAACCGCGAAAACTACTGCACTGATTTTGCTGAAATTTTGCACACTGATTCTTGACACTTCCTAGATGGTCTTAGTATAGTTTTTATCTTGAAAAATTTAATAACAATATCAATAAATCAGCTCAAAATTTTGCAACAATACGCCAGCTTTTCACTTCAGTTTAGTAGGGTTCGCTAGGTGGCGTTGACATAAAATCGAGGCTACCTGTAACAGAATTAAGAAAGTGTAATTATAATACGCCGGAAAGTCTCGAAAATTTCTGCAGTCATCTACTGGCAGTTCATCGAGCTGCATCGAGAATGTAGATGATAGTCGTGCTGCTGGGTAACCCGGTTACCGACGACACTCTTCTCTAATGGGCAAGTGACCTAAGTCTACATTCACCCTGAATCTCCAGGATTGACGAGTGCCACCAACAAAAAATCATTCTAACCGATAACGTCTCCGGAGGAACACCAGGAGACGTATCTAGCCAGAGCACAACTTGCTCCAAGACCTTAAAGTTCTGTGGCTGTTCCATCATTCCGCCTGGTGCCGTCAGAGAATTTTTGGCTACAAATGTAAGCCCGGAAAGACAGCCTTGAGGGGCACGGACAGCCAAAACGCCTACCTTCTCAGTGGTCGTGTCCCCAACGGTACACCCACATTTTCCTGACTAACGATGAGTGGTTGGTTATCCGGGGAATGACCCGAAGACGAGATATTCTTTGGTCAGCGGCGTACCTCCCTCCATCACAGTCTCCGTACATAGAGACTTTGAGGGTAAAAGTTAAGCTACCCGCAGCCAGCTCTTCATCATCAGAAATAATAATAAGGAATAGCTGGAAGTTTCACCACTGGCCCTTTTTAGGGCCATTATAGGTATTTACGTTTCCTACTTAACGATCAATCTCATCAGTTCTGTTAAGGGCCACCGAAGTTGAAACTTGCTTGCAAACAAATACATTTTTAATACCATTTCCAGAAGCGATTTGTGAACTAAAAGACTATATTAACTAAAAACGGCCAGTATTAAACTAAGTCAGGCATTCTCTGGCAGTTATTACGAGCGGAGTTGTTCTTCGCAAGGTTGGGAACCCCGGTGACCAACGACCCTATATTACCCTTTCGACTCTAAGCATTCAACCAGGAATCACCGATCCTTTCCAAGGTCTGCGCTGGGTGAACCTAACAGCTATGAATAGAATAAAAAACTTGAGCCAACGGGACAGTCTCTAACGGGCAAGCATTACGAAATAATCTCCTCATCTTAGTTCATCCAAAATAACTAAGTAGGCAAAAAAAAAGGTGCTTTAGACACCAACGTCTTCGACGTTATACCAGGAGACGTTGGGAAAGATCTCTACAACTAGCTTCAAAGCTTTGGACTTTGTAATTTTTCTCACGATCAGTCTGAGGCTTCAACAGCAGGCCAGAGAAGATCACCTTGAGGTATCCAGGCAGTCACAATTGCTGTTAACTTCAGTCAATAAAGAGTTTACTTAAGAAGCTCACCAGTCTTTTTAGGGCCATCGGACGTTGAACTACCTTGTCAACAAATACATTAGAATTTAACAAAGTTGACAGATAACAGCCTCTAGAGGTCACAAAAGTCTTAAGCATGCCAAAATTCACATGAGGATGAATTGGAAGGAAAACTTTAAATGTATATGATAAATGCAATTTTAGGTGTCAAGAAACTAACGCAGAAAATTTATCGAAATTGGAACAGCAGCATCAAAATCGACAAATAAAGAACCCATTACGTGGAAGATCAGCTTTTCATTGTACCCTCATAGTAGTCTCTCTAATCTTTAAAGATCTAAATTTAGATTTTTGAATAAGTAGAAAATGTGTTTGTGTTTTTAAGGCAATAAAAAATGTAAGTTTAAGCTGTAGGACTTTGTTGCTCTGGTAATAAAGTTGTGAGATAAGAGAAAAAAATTTTTTTTTAATATATATTTTTTGGGAGTCTTAAATCCTAATAGCTTTTAAAAATAGGCCTTTTAGTGAATTATACGAGAGAAACTACAAATCAACGGCTCCTTATGGCCAACGATTATTTTGTGGCATTAGGAACGCACGGTACTTTTCAGCAAAATTACATTTTCTTTATTTTTACAGCTTATTATTTGACCAAATAAACTGTACGGATTCCGAACAAATATGTTTTTAATAAGAAGATTTTTAGATGTCGTGTGGTATGAAAAGAAGCTACTAGCTGCGTATAATCTGGAAGACAAGAGAGCCGTCGAGTATTTCGGTGCGCAGAGTAGCTGTGTGCGGCAATGTCTACAAATTATATACGACCGTAACGATAGAAAAAAGTGTCGAAAAAAATTCTGATTACGCTTTTTTCGGTCGTACTCTCTTCCACTTAGAGCGGGTAATGCGTGAGAAGGAACTTCATTTAAAAAAAAAAAAAAAAATTCATTATACAAGATAATCTATTCATAACTCTGAACTTGGTCTCACTGCCCAAATTACATCGATAATAAAACGACGAAAGTGGTTTTTAAGCGCAGGACTATTTACTATAAATTTACATTCATTTCATGTTTCAGCAACATCTCATTGCCATTTTCAGAATCATTGGATTAACATCAGCATATACATTGGATAATCAAATGCACGGAATCCACTATAGAAGTATATGACAACCTAGGTGTGCTTTTTTACATTTTCAAAAAAATTCTTTTGAAAACATCTTTTGACAGAAAAATTAGTAAGAATATGACGAAAATAAATAACAAGTACATAAAGATAAGTGTTTAGTCACCACATGCAGGAAAAGAGTCAAAGAGGATATGATGCATCTGATTATCCACTGTATATGTTGGTATTGATGAGATCTCCCTGAGAATGGCAATAAAATATTTCTGAAACAGTGAGCAAATGTAAATTTATACTACATAGTCCAGCTCTTAAGGACCTTTTCATGTTTTTATTTACAAACTAACTTATTATTAAGAAAATTTTTTTAATTATCACCCATACTATTTAAAATCTATTTTGAAATACAATTTTTACGAAAAAAACCGATTAAGTAGGCTTAAGCCTCAGTCATGCAAAAGTTCACATGTGACACAAGTACACTCAACCACTTGTCTTTAAAAAGGTTGTTGAAAAAAAAACATGGATCGCCTATATATCTTACCAACACTGCTTTTTTTTTTTTTTAAATTCGTCGTTTAAAATTTCTTTCATGATTTTTCTGAAAATACCTTTATTTAAGTACATACAGTTTAAACTAATAACATGCCAAACACTACAAGGTACACAACATGTTAGATTTTACATAAGTAAAACGTTTATTGTAGATCAATTGTTTGACAGCATACTAAAAAAATTGTTTAACGAGTGACCTTAGAAATTTTAATAATTATGTATTTTTAATATAATTGTA